TGATGAGCAGTGCCATGTCCGCGCCCAGGATTCAAACTGGCGAAACCCTGGGCCACTGAAGCAGTGTGTGCGAACTTAACGTCTCGGCCACGGGGCCGGCCCCATTCCTTTTGTAACTTAATAAGAATGTTTGCTTCCTTTATGTATTCAACTACGTAAGTCTAATATTTTTTTACCAAATGATTAAGCAATTATCTGCAAATTATTCTCCCCACAAACGTGAAATGCCACTTTTATCCGATTCTAAACTTCTGTATCATTATCTTTGATCTAATTCTAGACTCTCCAGTCTGTTCCATTGACCTGTGTATTCCTATGTCACCGGTTTGCTGTTGTAGAATACACAGCAGTATCTATTCAAAGCTCCTTCCCCCCCATTTTCCCCTCAAAATTCTCCTCTCTGTTTCTGGCATAACATTCGCACAGATGACAATTAGGAACTTGTCATCAAGGTCCAGAGAGTCCTATTGGGATTAAGACTGGAGAGGATGAAGACTTTCCATCCAGGATTTGGATATCTATTTTTTATTTATTCAAGTTTTTGCACACCTGTCAGGAAAATTTTATAACCTCATCTCATTAAAAAACAAAGAAAAAACTATTCTTCTGAAGTTCAGGTCATTCAACTCTGACCGCCTATTCTTTGCATATCCCTTTCATCAGATGACATTCTAGACTTTGCCTGTTTATTTAATTCTTGGCACACATTTCTCCTCTCCATCCCAGCCCCGTCAACATCTGGGCTGGTTTCACTGGCCATGCCATGCATCTCAGGCCTGGGACTCCCTCATGTCTGGTAACCTGACCCCCCACTCCATCTCAGCCATCCGCTGACCAAAGCAGCCTCCAGCTGGTCATCATGCTCACACTCTTCCACTCTAAGTTACTAATTCAAGCACACAAACCTCCTAAGCTTCCAATTCACTGCCTCAAACATTTTTATTACTATGCTCTTTCACTTCTTAGGTACCACCAGTTCAGTGTTTCCTGGAGCCCTCAGGGCCCATTCAAGAGAAAGAAATCACACAACTTATTTGAACAGAAACAATTTAATACTAAAAAGTGTTAACTGGTATTGAGAGAGGAACAGGCAAAATTCTAACCTTAAGGGAGGGAGCAACTGCAGGAAGCAGCTAGTACCACTAGAAAGGGGAAAACAAAGGGAAGAAGTTGGGCGTGTTGAACCATGGAAGCTTGGAGGAGGGCCCATGGGCCCAGGGCCCAGATCTCAGAGGAGGGGCACTGCTGGCTGCTGCGGCTGCCTTGGAGAGGGTGCCATGAAGCTGGTTCTGAGAGGCTGGAAGAGCTGCAAACTGGACTCAACTGCAGCTTCCAGAAGGAAGCGTCACTGACAACATGGTGAAGCATTGCAAGGGGGATGGTCGCAGCAGCAACGGGCGCATGGGAATGAGCAAGTCCCTTCTCCCACCTTCAGCCTTGCAATCATCCTATAGTGTTCTCTGTCTCTCTCTCTCCCTCTTTCTCCCTCTCTCTCTCTCTATTGGGAGAATCTAATAGGAAGCCAGCTGGCCATGCAGAAATGTCGTTTACAGAGTATCAATCCCAACTCCACATGAGTTTGAAGCTGGGAGAATAGCTTAATAATTGAACTAACTCTTTGACTTTCTATCCATCACCCCTGTCTGCCTTCACTTGCTTGTCTGTCCAGCCTGGGACCAACCGTCCAGCACTTCAGTTACTCTCTGGCTGGTATCATAAACTCATTAGCTTCCAGAGAGCAGACTGGTATCACCGATCACCAGCCCAACACTGCCCGACATCTTACCACATTTCTCCAGGCAGCTCGTTTCCCCACACTCTGCAGACTGCTTTAAATCTCCGCTCTTCTCAAACTTCCACCTCCCCTTTTTTCTTTTGCTAACTTCTGCCTCAAAGATAGAAACTTCTTCTCAACTTTCTGCTAACAAGCCAATAACTGCACCCACCCCCACCCATCCTGTCTCCTCTCTCAGAAAGGTGGTGTTCCTCTGTGTGAGGCCATCACCTGCTCCTCTTTACTGCATCCCATTTGCTTCTTTCTGGGAATTTGAAGATTCACCTTTCCCCACTCGATTCTGTATCTTTGCTCTCTCCCTGTTTACCAGGTCCTTGCCTTTGGAGTTTCATAAATTTTAACTTTAGTCACTAATTTTTGAACAAATTACACTCAGCAAAAGGGCAAAGCCACTTTAGAAAATAACTCGGGAGTTGTAAAAATAAACATACAATTATCATATAATTCAGCAATCCCACTCCTGGGTCTTTACCCAAGACAAAGGAGAACATGCACACACAAAAATCTGCGTGGGAATGTTTATTGCAGCTCTCTCTTCACAATCATCAAAAACTGGAAATGATACAAATGCCTTTTGGTGAATGCATAAAGAAAGTGGTACGTCCATACAGGGGGGATACTGCTCAGCAATAAAAAGGAATGAATCGTTGAGACACACAACAATGTGGAGGAATCTGAAATGCATTTTGCCAAGGGAAAGAAGGCAGACAAGGAAAGGGATTTACTGTATGATTCCATTTACATGACATTTTAGAAAAGGTGACATTATAAGGACAGAAAAAAGATCAACAATTGCCATCAGGAATTCTTTTGAAATTAGGTAGATAGGCCTCTTCCATTAAAAAAAATGCTCACAAAAGGCTCTTTTGGATCTTACCCTCCCCTGCACACTACTGCCACTGTGACTCTGACTTTCATAGCAAATTTTATCCAAACAGTTTGTCTACACCCATCTTTTCCACTCCCTCTCTTTCCATTCACTCCTCAAGCAACCTCACTCTTGCTCCAGCATTGTCAAACTCACTGAGCATTTCTCTGTACTCGTCTCTCTCATCCTTGCTCAGTAGCAGCCCCAAACAGTTGAGTCTCCCCTCTTCACTCAGTTTAGGGAAGAGTCTTCCTGCCTAGACGGGGCAAAGGCAGACTCTACCCTTGAGTCGGCTCTGTCACTGCCCCAGCGTCTGCCACAGTTCATGCCACAGGCTAGGAATGAACCAGTGAACATTTCTGGAAAGCAGCTTTGGGACAAGTAGCTAGAAAAGGTGGCACTATCCCAAGTTTTCAGAAAAATTCTGTTATCTCCGCTGCCTTGCACTTTATGTTTCCTTGTAAAGACCTTCCTACCGTGTATCCTCAACCATGGAAGAACAAGACAAAAATGAATTGTAATTGCACAAAAACTCACAAGGGCCTCTTATATATTTATTTAAATTTTCCCCTCTAAATACATTTCCCAGAAGGATGGGCTTCTTCTATTGAACCTTGAAGGAGACGCCTTTTCCTCCCTGGGACGGGTTCAGATTCTGGATTTGTTGCATCTTCTGTGTATCGTCTTTGAAACATTGGTGCTGAACCACCGAGCAGCAACATTACTCATTATCCTCAGGGTGTAAAGCAGTCGAAGAGTCATTAAGGACTCTCCATTTGGAAAGCAGCCACTGCCCAACAAAGGGCCTCTTCTTGCCTCAGCCAGGAGGAGAGGCACAGTCAGGGCCCTGGGGCCCTCTCTGACTCGAACCCGAGCATCACTGATGTCCTAGAGACTCCACTAAAGCAGGCGTACCCCTAATCTCACCCAGTGACAAAGCTGAAGCAGAAGTCTGCTGAAGTGCCAACAGTTTATTTTTATCTTTTCTTTAATAAGAACTTGGTAGGCTTTTCTTTGTTCCAGGGCATGGGGCTGCTATAGGGCAAGAATGTGGAACTGGCTTAACCATGCAGCAGAGCCAATGGGATTTCAGGGACCTAAATATCCCCCGCCATCAGCCTATCTTCCATGCCTGAAATTCCACTGTGGAATATACATTAAGTACCTTATGACATTAAGGAGTTGTGACCTAAGAAAAACAATGAGAGGGAGGGAAAATTCATTGAACCCGATATACTAACTAGATCATACATGCAAAGTGCTCAGTACAGTGTCTGAAGGATAAAAAGGACTCATAAATAGTAGCTATTATTTCTATTACTAATAACTGCTGGACCATTCGCTAAGCCAATGTTTCTTGACCATCTACTTCGTGTCAGGATACCATGCTAGATGTTGATAAATTGCCAGAATCTCTGTCTCAAAAGGCTCCTGTGATCAGGGCAAGAAACCCCTCAGACAAACAATTAGAATTCACCCTCATAAGTGCTCTCTCTAATAGGACACTGAGTACCAGGGGCGAGTGCAGGAGGGAGCAGCCTGCGGTGCTTGTGCAGACGGGACACTGTGCAGGAGAGACGGGTCAGGAGGAACATTTAGGGCGCTGCCAGGTGAGAATGAGGGGATGGGTGTTCTGGGCTAAGACTGCATGCAAAAGGCAAGATGACATGAAAAAAAGAAGGCAGGAAAACAGAGGAACAATAATGAGTTCAATGTGTTCGGAGCACAGATTTCATCAAGGGCTAGAGAAGAAAATGGGATTGGAAAAATATCCTAAAGGAGGAAGTGCTATGCCTGGTGAATGGACTTAACCCAGTAAGAAACATGGGTCCAAGTGCAGATTTCAAGCAAGAACACAATAAAATTTACTGTTTGGAAAGGCACATTCATTGATATCAAAGGATGGGGGTCGGCAAACTATGGCCTATGTGCCAAGTCCAGTCCTTTGTCGTTTTATTTTACGGCTCATGAGCTAAGGATGATTTTTACATTTTCACACGGTTGAAAACCAATCAAAAGAACGTATTATGGCACAGGAAAATTAAATGCAATTTAAATTTCAGTGTCATCCATAAAGTTTTAGTGGAACACGGCCATGCTCATTTGTTTACGCCTTGTCTATGGCCACTTTTGTGCTAAACAGCAGAGATCATTAAAAGTATTTACTATCTACTCTGCACAGAAGATGTCTGCCAGCCTCGGGTTAAAGGATATAGCTTAGAGCAGAGAGAGAACAGAAGGCAGGGAAGCCAGCGTGAAGGGCAGAGGGAGAAGCTTCAGCCATGTTTCTCCAACCTGAGTCATATACAAATCCCCCTCCGAAACTGCTCCAGGAGCTCTAGTGTCACTTGAATTACTTTTATTCAAACATAAATTAAATATTTACAAACAGACATCCTGGTAAAACTTCCTTATTCTTTTAGCTCTTACACAACTCTAAAACCAAAACAAACTTAAAAATCAAGTACAAACAAAATTACAAGACCAGTCAATTTCACGTTAACGTCCTTAATTTAAGGTGAGGGACGATGTCTTTCAGCTGCAACCAGATGTCTGTGTCAACGTCCCAGGCCAGCCCCAGATTCATCTGAGTGCGAGTGCAGGTGTCTGCTACCATGTCTGGGTGATGACAACGATCTCACAACCTTCTCTGGGTGCAAGCACTCCAGACACCTTCATTCACGTAGAATGGCGTTGGCAACATTTCTGTAAAGGGTCAGATGATAAACATTTTAGGCTTTGCAGGCCCCTGCTACAACCACTCAATTCCGCCATCCTAGCTCAAAAGCCCTCACAGACAGTCCATAAACGGGCGGGCGTGTGCTCCAGTCAAACTTTACTGACAGAACAAGCAGTGGCCAGAATTAGCTCAGAGGCTCTGGGTCAACCTTTGTTCCAGGGCAAAGTGGAAAACTGGTGGGATTTCTGTTCAGCTGTGGACACACCCTCGACAGGCCAGGAGACCGCTGTGGAAGGAGGAGTCACTGCCACAGCCGCCCATCGGATGTATTCACAGCGACAGGCTGCAGGCTGGACTGGGGCCACAAGCCTGGACAGCAGACAGCGTCACAGCACTATCACCTCTTCACCTCACATCTGTATTCAAACCAGCTCACAGCAACAATGACCATCTTGCCACTTCCCTTGGCCCAGAATGGGGTTTCCACCCACCGGCCCTCAACCTCAGGAGGCTCAGAGATGCCTGCAGGTCCTCACCACTTGGTTCCTGCTGGGACATCCAGAAGGGCCAGGTAATTATGGACTTTGCACATTAGCCACCAGAGTCCAATGCATACTGACAGAGTCTGAGTGCCATGCCGTTATAGTTCTGAATCTCAAAACGCAGTAAGAAAGGAAACTTGGCAACAGTCTTTTTAATTTGGTACCTTTTTACCCACACTGTGAGGCATTTGGGATCAGAGTTCTGATTCTCTTTATGAAGCTCTTCTATATACAGAATCACAGACTACCTTTAACTTGGAGCCTGACACTCTAGACAATTTTATTACTATTATTATGCTTCAATTTTAGGAAAAAAACACATTTTGAAAGAAAAAAGTGCCAAGAAATACTATAACTTGGATAAGAAACAGTCTCATTTATTAGAGTCTTTCTTGTAGGGAAGAAAACTTCCCCACACATGTTCCTTTACCTGGCTACTCTTCTCTTCCCAAGACAGTCAATTCAGGGAAAAAAGAGGAATAAAATCTGATTCTGGGGGCCAGCCTAGTGGTGTAGTGGTTAAGTTTGTGCACTCTCCTTCAGCAGCCTGAGGTTCACAGGTTCAGATCCCAGGAGTGGACCTGCACATTGCTCACCAAGCCATACTGTGGCCGTGTCCCACATACAAAAAATGGAGGAAGACTGCCATAGACGTTAGCTCAGCGACAGTCTTCCTCAAGCAAAAAAGAGGAAGACTGGCAACAGATGTTAGCTCAGAGCTAGTCGTCCTCACAAAAAAAAAAGAAAGAAAGAAAAGAAAAGGAAAAATCTGATTCTGGTGTGGGGGTATAAACTCGTCATCCTGGTGAACGGATGGATGGGTGGCTATTTACCAACCAGACGAGGAGGCTGAGTCCTCCAGTGAGGCTTCGGGTGTGTTCTCCTGGGTGTTCCTGGACAAACTGCACTCCATTGCTCATGACCATCCTTACACGGGCCAGGCTCTATGCCAGGCACTGGTTAATTAGAATGGAAGACAAGAGGGGCCTTGCCCTCAAGGAGATGGCACTGGAGTGGGCACCACCAGAGTCTTAGTTTTAGTTACATGCTTACTGTGTGCCAAGCACCATGCCAAGCGCTATACACACAATTTCTCTGGGAATACTAATGACACCCCCATTGAACAGACATGATCATCTTGTCTTTACAGATAAGGAAACTGAGACTCACAGAGGTTAAATGACCTGATGAAGGACAGAAAGCCAGTCAGCGGCAGAAGCAGGTTTCGACCCTGTGTGGCCTAATCTCAGAGCTTCTGTACTTCCTCCTGCAGAAGCTGGACACCTAAACAAACAATTCCACGACATCCATTATCCTACAACAGGGAGAGCCGAAGCAGGGGCTCTGGGAGCAGGAGACTTGTGAGGGTGGTGGGCTATTTAGAATACTCTAGAACAAACTGATTAGGACACACGACTCATGAGTGGGACCTGAGCAAAGCCCAGCTTCTGAACCCAGTGGAGCACTTTGCTAAACATCCCACTTTAGAGCACTCGGGACTGTCTTGGAGGGAAATAAAACCACCAGCCAGGCTTTCCTCCCAGAGATCCCCGTGGCTAACTGCCTCACCTCTTTCAAATCTGCTTTCAAACATCATCTTCACAAGGAGCTACTCAACCGCCTTATTTAGGCTGCACCCTGCCCCCTCACCATCGCTCTGATCTCTTTCCCCGCCCTCCTATTTCTTTGTTGCACTGTTTTCACCTTCCAACCTATGGTACTATGTAACTTACTTATTCACTACGTTTACTGCTTATTCTTATTGTTTACTACTCGAATCCTTTCTTTAGAACATAACGTCAACGACAGGAGGAACTGGTGTCTGTTTTGTTCACCACCAGATCCCAAGTCCCTAAAAGAGTGCCGTGTATACAGCAGGTGCCAATAATATTTGTTAAATTAATAAACGAGTGAAGGAGTGTTGAAAAACAGACTGCGGATGTAAGACTGGGCTGAATGATTCTGGCAGCCCTTCCCAGCCCTGGCGTTCGGCTCCCACATACAGGAAAAGCATCCTTCCATTTGGGATTCAGGGACACTGGAAGCAAGTTCTCACCCGTCTAGATACATGACTGAGTTCTCACCGGGATTGTGCTTTCGAATGTGGATGAGACCTTCATGTTCAATAAACTCTCAACCTTGGTCTCCCGTGCTTGTCTTCATTCTAGTCTTGTGCTCTCGTGACATGGGCAGTTAAAGAAGAGAATTTAGGGGTTGCCCTGTGGCCGAGTGGTTAAGTTCACGTGCTCTGCTTTGGCAGCCCAGGGCTTCACCGGTTCAGATCCTGGGTGCGAACATAGCCCTGCTCATCAAGCCATGCTGAGGTGGCGTCCCACATGCCACAACAAGGACTCACAACTAAAACATACAACTACGTACTGGGGGGCTTTGGGGAGAAGAAGGAAATAAATAAGTAAATAAGTAAAAGAAGAAGAAGAGAATTTAGTGCACACAGCAAAATCCCCCACATCTCAATGGCAGGCAGAACAAACTCTGTGATTTGAGTGTTTTTGTGAAAAGTCATAGGAGTGTCTTTGTGTCTGAATTAATATAATCTTAAAATTTACAAGAATCCAGTTTCCTTTTTATAAGGTTTCTATAACAGATGTGTCAAGTGTCTAGTTTTGAAAGGACTTCATAATTATTTCACTTACAACTTCCTCTGGGTTAATTATGGGAGTCTAAGAGTTGGACGAGGGGACAAGAGTAATAGAGTTCTTGACATGCCATCTGAATGCAGGCTGAATGCGGTCTGTAACAAAGCCTTCCGGTGTTCCTTTTACTTATTATGTTGTCTTGTCCCCTTATCAGGGTGAGGAACACTCCACTTCTTTACAGGTTCAAACTGAATTCCAAATTCTGTCTGGAGCACATTTGGGTTTCTACCAGGCCCACTTTCTATTTCACTCCGAGGGGTGGGAGAGATGGAGGGTACCAAAATTTATTCCTGTGTGCTCAAATGTGATCAAACCTCGAGCTCTCACTTGACAGTTAATGTCAAAGAACAACTTTAGTGTCGTCTCTTTCTGTATTCATTCCTTTTTAATGCACATCTCTCTGGTTTCCAAAGCCAGAAAAATCTGCAGTTCATTCTAGATTATTCCCCCTGCCCTAACCCCTTCCCTGGCTATCATTTTGTCCTCAAGTTCTGTCAGTTTACATCTAAATATTTCTTGAATCCGTCCATTTCTCTCCATCCTCACTATGGCTGCCTCGATTATGGCTGCCACACTGTTCTGCTGCTAAGGTCCAAAATCTTGAATGAGACCTGTAAATAGGGTGACCAATTCATCCAGGTTTGCCTGGGACTGTCCCCGTGTTAAATCTGAAAGTCTCACATGCCAGGACCCTCCCCCTAGTCCTGGCCAAACTGACACTGTCGGTCACCCTCCCTGTAAGTCTTGGAAACTCTCTGCTTCCTCTGTTCACTGCAGCCCCACTCACCTTCTTCCAGTGACTTGGACTTTCCTACCTCAAGACCTTCACAGGGGCTGGTTTTCTCCCTGGATTGCTTCTGCACTCACTTTGGTTAACTCATCCTCCTCTCCCAGATGCTGGCTGAAACGCCACATCTTCAGATAGCCTTTCACGATCCAGCACCCAGCCCCAAGTTAATTTCTGACCTTGCTACAACCTCTCGCTGTATTCTTTACTTTGCCTTCACACCCCTCTCAATTAGTGGGTTATATTTTGTCTGTGTAGTTACGTGTTTAAAGAAGCACTTTCTTCGTTAAAATTCAGCTCCTCAAAGGCAGACAACGTGTCTGTCTATACAGCTGTTTGTCCCCAACACCTTGCCCAGGACCTGGGAAGTATCGAGCCCTCTATAAATACACCTTCAATACGTTTACTTTGTACGTGTTTTCCTTTTCCCCTGATTAAACTTACAAGACCTCTTTCTATCCTCCCTCCATCCCTTCTTCTTGCCTTTCTGGTCTCTTGCTGTCTCTCCTTTCTTGGTCTGTCTTTCTTTTCAAGAAACAACTCTTGGAATTAAGTGTTAATGCTACTGTTTTTACGATTTCTTGAACCAATATTTTCTGCTTTTATCAGTATTATTTCCTTCATCTAATTTTCTTAGGTGTATTCTTTATTTTAGTTTTTGAGCTCTCAGGCCCATTTGCCAGCTCTCTCTTCCTCCCACCTGATTTAGCTAGACTGAGCCTGCACTTTTCCTGAAGAGACAGAGCTGTGTCACTTCGTCACTCTTTTGGCACCCGTTGTTTTCTCTGTGGGATATGCCCTTCGTTTACTAATCTAACAAATATTTAATGGCTACCTCCCCACCTTGTCTACTGAACTAATAATTCTTTAAGATCCAGCTCAGCTGTTCCTTGACTGTTAACACTTTCCTGCCTCCACCCTCACTGAGTTCATCCGCTGCTCTGTGCCACACCCGTACCTGGAGTGGACATCCGTTATAGTACTTATGTTGCATTGTAACACTTTATTCATACTCCATCTTCCCCACTGACCTCTGAGCTCCATGATGACAGTGGCTGACCTCTGTGTCTATTTTGGAGGAGGCTGAGATTCTGGAGGAAAGGGACACACATAATTAGCATGGCTCTCTCTACAGCTTCATCCTCCTAAGAACTAAACAGACCTTCTAAAAAAAATACATAGAATAAGTCAACAGGAAAATAAGCAAGGAGATGAAGAGACAGAAAAAAATACTGAGTCAGGGACCATGTACATTTTCAACTTGATTAGATAATACCAAGGGAAATTTCTTTATTGGAGGAAAGAAGAAAAACAAGAGAGGGGCAAATACAAAAGTGAATTTGATGTAGATAAGAGAGATTTTGAGAAAGCTCACACTGATGGACTTGGTCCCCACAAAACATGATTTTGCCGAGTTTGGCAGTCGGGATGGAATATGGACCTTGATCAGAGTGGAACAGGTTTGGAGTACTTTAAGAATATGTTGTGGTCAACCAGTGAAGGACTGAGGACGTTACAACCATCAAAGGGCCAACTAGATAAAGAGCAAATAACTCTTGTGATTTTATTCGGTGCGGCCAGGCATTCTAGATATTGAAGGGGGTAATGAGCGGCATGGCTGAGGATGGGAAGCCAGGGGTCATGGAAGTTCACGGAGGCAAGGGCATCAGGGATGCTCACGAGAACCAGCAAAGTGGCTAACCTTGGGCTGAAACAAGCAAGACCAGAGAGGTGTGAGCACGGAGATCCTGAGCTAGACAGACAACAGGTTCCAGGGGAAAACAGAGCTGAAGACGTGGAAGGAGAAGTCACTGTGATCAGTCGCGGGGATTTCAGAATTCACACTAGGTTTAGGGTAGGTCCACATCAGGGTTTCATCCTCTCGCTGGCCAATAACATGCTTTCATGCCATTTGATGGAAATGAAATACAAACTATGAGATAGTAAAAGAAGAAAACTGGCTAATGGGTTTTTCAGTCCCTGCAGTGTCTATCAAATCGAATGCCAAGTACTATTCAGGTCTTAGAACCTCCCCTATTCCTGTGTTCTGGCTCCAGTCAGGACACCCCTGGGCCCAGAGCTCCTGAGGTTGATCTGGTGATGGGGCAGGTGTCAGAGCGACTGTCCTAGCTTTCACGGGAGCCTTCGTTCAGGGGCAGCAGGGAGAGAGGGGCACCTCCTCTTTAATGGTCCTATCTGAACAGTGGCTTCTTTGATCTTGTCTGGAATACTGATGGATAAAACTCTCTATGCATTTTATAGGAATATAAAAGACAAACAAGAATGATTTTTAAACACACGAAGCTTTAAGCTACAGATCTGCAGACACATTTTCCCCTTCCTTGTTGCCTATCTCTAGCCTTTCTGGGAGGAAACACACATCTTGGTGTTGCTTTCTTTAAAACAAGAGAAAGGAGTCAAAACAGTTAATCTCACACGCTTCCTGTGATAGGGAAAAGGCAGCACACACTGCTGTAGGAGGAGACCTTGGGAGCAGAGCCAAAGTAGAGGATTTTCCGAATGGGTCCCCATAATGATGCTCTTGGAGGAGGAGAGACTCAGAGTCACCCAAAGGTCCAAGGTGAGGCCAGGCCCATGAAGGACTCAAATGGATGGAAGTGATGGTCACATCCCGTGAGGAGGCCAAGGAATGACAGCCAGAAGATAAGGGGTGGAGGTGGCCCTGAGGTTAATGACAGGAGAAGACATAAGAAGGACAAAGGTACAGGGGCCAACAGTCAAGGTTGGAAACTTCAGCAACTAAGATGGTGGTGTCATAAACAGAAAAGAAAGACGCAGAGAGAAAAGCAAACCTGCACTGGGAATAAGGAATCGGCGGAACTAGTCTGCCTGAGACTATCAGGACACGGCTTCTTCAACTGCAGGTGCGAGAAGCTGGGAAAATCAAGAGAGGAGATCACAACCCTGATCACCTTCAAATTCCAATTTAACAGACACTCAAGCTCCATCTTCTTCCTAAGACAGCACACCAGTGCCTCTGTATCTTTAATTGTGCATCTGGAAAATCAGATTCTAAAGCAGCCATCGTGGTGGCTGACATGGAGGGACTATAGTGATCACGCGACAGCTGTGAGAGCTTTGGTCCTGCAGACCCTCAAACACCTGCCATTTCTTTGCCCACCTCTGCCCTTCTGTTAGCAACATTCACAGTTGGAAAGATGTAAATCCCTTCATGTGAGTTACTGCACATGTGCCAACTATATGCTCAGTGGTCACCTCGTTCACTCACCATCTGCCAACTTTGTAGGATGTGTGAGTTGAGTTCATGCCTCAAGAAAATGTCACAATTGTTAAATCTCAAGAGTCACCTTCATATAATCTAAATTTTAAGTATTGAAGTGTAAGTGGTGTTTAAAAACATTTGCATAGGAACTCAATTCCAAACCACCCTGTGGGGCTCAGGCCATTAGTCCATGTCTCCAGAGGCTCTGGCTCTTGAAACATGAATTCCTCCTGTTTCATTAGTTTGTGCTATTGATGTGGCTCCCAAGGGGTTACATTTGGGAGAAGAGACTTAATCATGGCATTGAGCTTTCAACTGTGTGGGAAATAAACTCAAAAACACCCATCCTTAACCAAATTTGCTTCACTTCAGGGAAAGAACAGATACGGGACTGACTAGTTGGTTCTTAAAAATTAACACTGAGTGGCATTTATATTGAATTTTAGATTAAATGATTTTACTAAAGCTTCTAAAAAAGTAGCCCTTTTTAGCAGGTCAGACAAAGAGCTCTGCTTCAGAAATGACAGCACAGCCTCCCGGTGAACTGCTTGCGTGCAGTGTCTCTTTTTCTTCTTCCCCTTCCACCTCCTAGAGAAGCTCTTCAGGAGCCTCAGACGGGGGGCTGCTGTGTGGCCAGTTCCAGGGGGACTATTCACATCCGAGTCCATTCATGTGACTCTCCATCACTGTTAGAGGCGCAGGGGTCAGAGAGAAAACTTGTCCTCGCTGTGTAAATACACAGACAAACCTCTTAAAGAAGGCTTTCTCAGTGTCTTAGGTCAGGCTTCCGAGAAGCAGGGCCTGAGACGGTGATTCTGGTGAAAAGGATTCATTGGAGGAGGGCTCTCTGGAGGGGGTGCAGTGTGAGGGAAGCAGCAGACAGGAGAAGAAACCTAAGCAAAGGGGCGGTCTCAGCTGGAGACTAACTTCTCCCTCGTATCCCAGAAGGCTCTGGTCCACCTTGAGGCCAGGCTTCCGGCTTTTTGTGCCCCAGTCAATCATTGGCCACTGACTGTCCCCTGCGGCCAGGAGTAACCTCCCAGGCAAGGCAGCTCCATTTGAATACTCACAGCAACTGAGGGAAGAGTGTGCCACCAGTGAAGGGGACCCGGGCAGGGCACAGCAGCATCCACTACACTTGGGGAAGGAAGGGAAGATCAGAAAAGCAGAGAAGGCCTCTCTGAGCAAGCAGCTTATAAGCTGAGTCCAGAAGGATAAGTAAGAGCCAGGATAAGTAAGAGACTTGGAGGAAAAGCAGGGAGTATGGTCAAGGGAACAGCACATGCAATGGCCCTGGGGTAGAGAAGACAATATGGACCTCCTTTCCTCTTCATTCAAGGTGCTCTGGCCTCTGATTCTGGGTTGGAGGGAAGTGTGTAGTGGTATTCCTGTAAGGCAAATTCAGGGCAGGCAAAGAGTTTTGTACTTTGGGCTTCTGCAAAGGACCCAACAGATTTGTGGAAGAAAACATTTTGAGTAAGCACTGGGCCCTGAAGATTGCTAGTCTCACCTTTCACGTGCTCTCATCTCTGTACAAAAGTATATTTATCTGTTTTAGGGAGATAAGTGAAGATTCCTTGCCTGGAAACTTTACAAACGTCCAGGAAGGCCAAGCTCTTGGTCTGCAAGGGTGTAGCGTCTCCTGTTCTCAAAAGGGTAACATGGACCATCCCTCCCAGGTATGACATCCTA